TTTTTTTTTAAGTTTTCTTAACGTTTTATTGTTTGAAATCAGTCAAGTGGTACTCAAGTACTTGTAAAAGCTTGAAATATAGTTCTAAAGAAGGAAGCTGTTGATATCGGTGACTAAAAATGAGAATAACGAGAAAATTTTAAGGGAAATGGAAACAAAAAAGAAGGCTTATACTTAGAAACGGAAAGAAACAATTGAAATTTCTTAGACAAATAATCAGGAAAGAAGATTGGAAAATTCGACACTCAGAGGACGTATTGAAAGAAAAGGGGACAGAGGGAATTAAGTGTTAAGTAGGTTACTTAACCAGTGATGGAAGGATGGGGATTTGGAGAGATAACCAAAAGTCAAAGGGTAAGAAATTGTGGAGCACCGTGATCGCGCATTTCCTGAAGTGATACGGCACAAAGAAGAATTTAAAATGCTTTTCTTTTCTTTTTGTTTCCTATTCAATAGAATATAAAAGGTGACGTCTTTCAATATTCTTCTCATGGGTGATGACAAATTTGACTTAATAATACCGGAATCTAAATGAGAGAAACTTTTATCTAGATATCACCTTACCTGTCTTTGGTATATCGATAAACTAAATCCGACAGCAAGGCCTCTGATCAAGAGGTTTTTGGATCGTGGAAACACCTCGTAATTGCTATTGTTCCCAGTTCCACTTTGATTCGGGGTAGTAGCACCTGTTAGGGTTCCGGCTATGGGTAAATACTTGACCACACACCCACCAAACCTGTGTCAAAACACTATGAAAGTGTAAAAATAGGTTTTTATCGTGACAGTACCAGGAGTACATTTTTGATAAAACAAAATATTACCCACAATACATTTTTGATAAAAAAAAATAAAAAAATAAAAAAATTACCCACAATACATTTTCGAAAAAAAATTACCAACAATACATCTTTGGAAAAAGTATATATTGCCAATAATAGATTTGACTCTCGAAAAAAGCTCTCTTTACAAAAATACGACAAAGAAACCTGATCTACAAACCGATTTCTTACAAAGAATACATATTCTCTTCTTACGAATATATCCTAAAAATTTTGTCGCCTTTAAGGTTAATATGCCGCAAAGCAAACCAAATCAATAAACAGTTTACTCTAAATAGAAAATAATGGGGATTCTCTTTTATTTGTATTTGCTGGGATTCAAATGGTGTCTATTATTTATAATAAATTTCTGGAACTCGGATAACTTATCAAGCAATGCAACAATGAGCAATTGGCCTGTTTAAAGGACACATCGAAATCGGTAAAACATTTTTCCTGGAAAAAGACGGTGGCAGATAATGATTTCATTTTCATGGCCACGCCAATCCTCAAATTACAAATACGGTGCAGCAAATAATTTAAAGTTTGAATGAGAAGTTCTTCTGCTGGCGTTTTCCTTTCATACGTCAAATTCAGGCACTTGTTTCGTTTTCTCTGGCTTATCAACATTTTGCAGATTATTTCAAGCCAGAAATATATATATATATATATATATTGTCAGTTTTTTTTTTGTTTTTGTTTTTAGATAATAATTGTTTAATAATGTAAGTCTTACTAATTAAGACATAGTTGGGAGGAGATATGTGGATTCACCCTTTTCCCGAGGGTCTTTACACGGAAGTGAATGTAACGTATCCAACGAGAGTTGGAGCTAGGCTCTCCGATTAAGAATTCCGAGGCATTATCCATTACATTACCCGCACATCCAAACTTACAGCACCTGGTATTCTAAAGCGGTCACGCATCTACACCTGACAAGTCTTCGGGGAGGTGGACATTTATTTCGTTCTCTTTGATGCTCTTCGGAAAATATCTGGAATCGTTCTTTTATGATGCAATACACAAGTTACGTGAGATGTGGCGTAAAGTTTTAGAAATTCAATATCCGGATAAAAGATTGCCAAAAGTACGCTGCACAATGTTTTCTCATCATACATAGTCAAATCTCTCTCTCATATCATATATATAATGTGTGTGTGCGAGAGAGAGCGAGATCTGATAAAAAAGAGTATCGAAACTGGTGCTATAAAAAGAAAACTACAACACACATGAATTCGACATTTTATTTCCCTTTTTGAAGCCATACTTTTTATCCAGCATTCTTTCCATTATTAAGATAGCGAGCAGCTGACATGTCTTATTCTCTTGGATTTCCTCGACGTCTTTTTGAAGAGAAAAACCTCACAACGGGCGAGATTTGAGGAATATGGTATTTGGCCAAAAACTGCTGCTCAAGTCTTGTTCATTGATGTAATATCTGGTGTGGCGACAACACTCTACACACTTTCCTTCCAAGAACTGCTATAAACAAGGGAAATGAGCGAGAACTTTATAACTTCCTGTGTCTGTACGACAGGGTTCAAGACCAATCGGTGCCAAACAGATTCACTCAGTGTATTTTAGCTCCGTCACTATAGCAATAGTCCTGGTACTTTTTTTATCATATCTCGTATATAGACTCATATCCGCGATGAATTGTCTTACGCTACCCAAACCAGCAAATGCACATATCGTTTATATAATAGTATAATTTTTCATATTTTTCTACATAACTTATTTGTTATATTTGAATGTAATCGATATCACGTTGCACATCTTTCCGAAAAAGAATTTTCCCATAGGTGAAATAGTCTACAGAAATCAAGATACGAGAAGGAGAAAGACATAAAAAATTAAATTAAATTCTTATTAGAACAAAATTCTAAAAGGAAAATTCTGTATCCTCTCTAGAATCGAAAATATTTGTTGAAATTGATAATTTGGATAGTTGGTACCCATTAAACAAAAGAAAGAACAATCCTAATTTATATTAGGATAATTTTTGGTGAAAAGTACTTCGATTTTCAAAATCAACCAGTTACAGGATTTTAATAAAATTTTCGATAATTATATTATTAAAAAAGAAAGATGTTTTAAAGATATTCCCATTCCAAATTTTGGATAAAAATGGTTGCACCTAACACATTTATCGAACAGAATTCAGAAAATGATTTTCTAAAACATGCTTAATTGAATTAGTGCGCAGCAAATTCAAATTTCAGCTTACGACCATATAAGTTTGAAACACTGGTTCTCAGACAATCACCGAAGTTAAGCAAAGTCGAGCTTGGTCAGTACCTATATGGGTTGGTATAGTGGATAACAGTTCGGAATTGAAAGTCAGAGAAGCTAAGTTTCAATTCCAGTCTGGTTCGTTATATTCACTTACGTTCGAAAGTATGAAGACACCCCCCCCCCCGCCACCAGCTATGGTTTAATTATTAGTAATTTTATTAGTAAATTATTATCTCTGGCTTTAAATAACCTGCAAAGGGTTGATAAGCCTCAAAAAAATTCTTTCACCTAAATTCAATTTTATTTTATTTTTATTATTTTTCTTTTTTTTTTCTTTTTGGAAACGTTTAGCAATCCCCCCCCCCCGAATATATTTATTCTTTCAACGTTATAATTTTCTAATAAAGCTTTCACTACGAATTATAATTATCTTAGCATTTACTGTTTGAATTTACAATGTTGTCGGGTGATTTTAATCTAAGGAAAAACTTCAATATTTCCTCAGATTAATGGCGAAGTTCCTGAGTTTTATACACTCCTGTTATAGATATAAATGGCATGACCATTCTTTAGAACTGAAGAGTTTCTCAGAATCACGTTTTTTACAAGGATTCATTTTTTTTTTTTTTTTTTTAATTTAAATTTTATCTTAAACAGTATTGATTATTCACACACATTACACGATAGATACTTATTTTTCGAATAATTGTTCTTTTGTGGGAGGAAAAATCGTGCTGTTCATGAAAAATATACAATAACTTGTTTATATAATAGTTTGTCGATTATTGTTAGATTTCTTTTGACAAGATCAATAGCCTATCACTTGATCATTTTAGCGGCGAAAGGCAATTTTTATCTTTTATGTCCAGTGTTGAGTACATCAAAGTGGCCTCGAAATACGGCGACCATCTATCAGTCGACTGCTAAATATCGATAAGATTCAAATTGCTTTTTCTCCTAAGGTATAATACAATAATTCGATAATGTGTCAGGCTAAATCACCATATATCGCACTAATGCACAAACACTTATTGTTTTGAATGTAGTCTCGTTTTTGTCCTCTGCATATATTATAATAAGGTATAAAAACGGACAGTCTCTTTACAGCCGTGTCTATTGGCGGTACATTGATTTATTACCGATTTGCTGGACATACGGGTCAAAATTTCGTCTCTTTATTCACGGCAATTAAAACTTAGTTACTCTTTACTGCATTTATCACAGGTGACAGTCGTGGCGTCAATGCTAATTGATGTAAGCTATAAAAAGGCAGTTGATTGTTGGTCATAAATCAATTCTGACTTGGTGGGGTGCCGTAAACGAAGCTATCGCTTTCATCTTTGGCTAATATGACGGGATCGATTGTAATATTTTCAGGAAAATAAAACCAAGATCAGCCTAATAGTTTTCAGCGTGGAAAGTGGAATTGGCAAGCCGAGTTCAAATTCCGGCAAAACCTGATGTGTTCACTTTCTCACGAATGACCCTTTGAACAGCAAGAATCAATCTATTCCTACTCCTAGAGCTATGGGTTAAAAAGTAAACCGGTTGCCACCGAAGGCTAGAGAAGCCAGTCTTTGAATTCTGAACAATGGAGAAGACGATGGGAAGAGTTTTCGTACGATCATCGAAGTTAAGCAACGTCGATCCTGGTCAGTACCTAGATGGGTGACCGCTTGGAAATATTTGTATGTGAAGGTGGTTTAATTGATATCAGCTCGGAGAGCCGATTCTCAGTTACAAGCAGTTTCGTTAAATTCACTTACGCGCAAATATAAATCTACCTCTTCTCCCCCGGCTATGGGTTGATTAGTAGGACTTCTATCCGTCAATCATTATTATCTTCAAAATATTCTTAGAATTTAAAACTTTATCCTGGATTTAAATAACCTGCAAAATGTTGATAGGCCGTAAAAAAAAACAAAAAAACCTATAAATCATTGAATACAGTGCCTGGTATTTCCCAGCGGTCACCCATCCGAGTACTGACCAAAGGCAACGTTGTTTAACTTCGGTGATCGGACGAGGTTTGACGCTTAACAAATAATATTATATTTAAAATGATAAAATATAATATTAAGTTATGCTATATTTATGAGGTAAAGTGTTCAATATCTGGGATAGAGCGTATATAAAATGGCAGTTTATTTCTTGATTATATATTCTATAGATTGTTGTTTGACTTTTAGCGATTTTTTAAAATGGTTGCCTGTGTATTAATAGATTTGCCGAGAACTAAAGATATTAAACACCCAAACCTTATGCACAATCGCTAAGCAGGAAACAATGATAAAAAGCTAATTTTAACAAACCGAAAATAGACCAGTTACGTACGTTAGTAAAGGAATTTTATTTTGTACGGGACAAAAGAGTTGAGAAAAGAAGAATAGGTTAAGATGCTTAAAAGTTATAAAGAGTTTAGTTTTTTTTTTCTGTTTACCCTATATACATCGTTCGGACTGTTGGCCTCATCTTTATTGTCATATTCACGACCTTTCAGCCGTTCTACGCCCCGGCTTTCTTCAGGTGATGTATGTTGGAATTTGACTCACTAAAGGGAAACTGTAACAGATATCCAGAAAAGGCATGACACGTGGAATTAGAACAATCTAGACCCATGGACTAAATAAATTGTCCAGTTCGAAATTCCAATTCCCGAACGATGGAAATAGTGCCAATACCACATCTCAGAAATATAGAAAGTCTGGTGTTTTTTTTTTTTTTTTTTTTTTTTAATTTTGTTACTCCCTTTTCACTTAGTTGGTGGAACCTTTATACAGTGTAACCCGGATATAAGAGAGATTTTCTTTGGTCCCAAATTAGAGCCTGTGTTAATGCATATAAAATAGACCAAACCCGGTTATAAGAGAAACCCGGATATAAGAGACTTCTTCTCCGGTCCCGACGACTCTCTTATATCCGGGTTACACTGTATTACTTTGTTCTTAGAATTGTTATCTGTAGCTTCGGTAGCAGGCAACGTAAACAATACGTTACTCGTATATAGACTATTATGGCTGCAGAACTGGTAGTGACTGTGTTCATTTTTTGTTATGACAAGAAATATTTTCCTTGAAATAAGTTTTGTTTTTTTTTGTTTTTTTTATAAGAAGGAACCACTTTCATTTCTTCTATCTTAAACAGTTTTGGAAATTTTGACCCAACATTTTGTTATCAAGGGTAGGATTTTGATACTTCAACACTTTCATTCCTTCAACTGATAACGTAATTAAGAGAGTGCTTTCTGGGTTTTGCGTCTTGGTTGTATTCTCGCACCGACTGCATTCTGTAGCGAAGGTTCCGTTTCGCTTTATCGTTGTTTTATGACGTACGGTGGCCTTTAATAATTAAGCATAACTCAAGGCTTCAATGTTAAATAAAACAATTTAATTACAACCGCAAATAAATACTTAACAAATAAGTAAAAGTCAGCCGAGGATAATTAAACATTTCATTGAATAACTTGTTCGTAGCGCGGATCGGCTTAACTGACGGTAAATCATAAATCAAAACCGAAATCTTCGACGCAAAATAATTGACACTAATTCAACTGGATAGTTCCACTCAATATTCACTTAATAATCAGTACAGTCAGTAGTCTGACACCGCTACTTATACACCTGGCGGAAAACATACAAGTCCAGAGTGTCACGTTCGAACCTCGGTGTCGGGAGTTACTCTTTTTCTTCCTATATGACACATTGTTGTATTTACTTTTGATTAAATGCCTAGCTTCAGTTAATTTGCGTGCGAACTATATCACGCGGTAGAGAAAAAAAATTCTGTAATTTAGTTCTGTTTTGAGTAAAAATCGAACAAATTTCTTCACTGTATAAAAAGAAACGGAGAAACTGGGCTGATGATCAAGAATTAATGCAGTATTTACCGAGACAAATAAAGCGATCATAGGAATAGGTCTGTTTATATTGACGAAGTTAGTTATCCGTACTTACGTGGATGTATTTACTTAAAGCAATTTAGTTTACTGAACGTTTTTACCCCAGCGTACTGACTTTGGCGTACCGGTTTTGGCAATTTTCGTTAATTTAATTTTACCTTATTTTATTTATTTTTTTTATTTTGATCAATTAGACAAAATTATTATGGATTTTAAATTAACGTTTCTTTTTGAAAAAAAAAAAAATAATCACATAAAGGTGAAGTTTTGTAATTCCAGTTCTTCTTGATTGTTCGATGTGATATCGGTTAACAATCTGTATACTCTTTGACCTTTTAAAACATTGTTTTTTTTTTTCAATTTCGAAGAGTGCACTTGCGATTGTCATGCATGCATGTATTTAGTATGCATGTTTAATTGAAGAGGTTCTTTCGAAATTTTTTAATCTGATAATTATTCCAAAGGTTTGGTAAGCAGCGATTGTATCTCTGAAATCCTGATTAAAGACCGCCAGAAAGGAGACTTGTTTCGTATCTGATGCTGGATTGATAAAACTAGGCCTGCTTTAAGTTTTGGAAAAGCAATTTACGTGCTAATTTATCAAATAAACTAAACAATGCCATCATAAATTTAATATCGCGTGCATATCCTTTTCTAATATGCCACGTCTCTCTTTAGAACCTGAGCGATCAATGCTCTCCACAATTTCCAAGATTTTTCTTTCTGCATCAGCCATTAATACAATGACATTTGCGTTTCTTAAGTTATTTAATGATAGACTGATTGAAAATATTACATAATATCTGTTAATATTTCTGGGATGAGGTATTGCAGCTATTTACACTATTCGGACTATTGTCCTCACATTTATTATCATATTCACTTCATTTCAGCCGTTGTACGCTCCGGCCTTCTTCAAGTGATTGAAATTTCAAACCGAATTCTTTATTTAGATTGTTCTACTTCTACGTGCCATGCCTCTTCCGGATATTTCAGTTTCAGTTTCAGTTATTCCACTTTAGTAACTTTCTCTCTGCTGTGGGCATATGTCCCAGTGAACAAAAAATTCCAATCACCTGAAGATGGTCGGAGCGTACAACGGCCGAAACGTCGTGAGTATGACAACAAAAGAGTTGGCTGAAGTAATCCAGTGACTTGAACCAGAGTTGAAAGTTTAATAAGTTGAAGAAAAATTTGGAGATTTGTGTTACTAAAGGAAAATTACTGAAACGTAGAACTAGGACAATCTACCCAATTGGACGAAATAAAGGGTTCGGTTCGAAATTCCAATCACCTGAAGATGGTTGGAGCGTACAACGGCCGAAACGTCGTGAGTTTGACAACAAATTTGAGGACGATAATCTGAACAATGTAAGTAGTGTAAATATTACATGACGCTTTCGGTTAGGAGGAGAGGTGTATTCAACAAAAAATCTTAAATTGCTTTTTCACTGTAAATTATTCATATATTATCCAAGTATTTTACAAAATTAGAGCCGATTACACAATATTTCAACCTCAATTTAGATTTATAGTTCGGAATTATGCAATGAGATGGGGTAACATAAACCGTAGATTTGTCTGCGAAATATCATTACATTATTGTTACATGATTATAGTGAAATCATTAAGGTTCATTGTCTAAAACATTTTTTGGTCGGATAATAATTTAAAATGTACCTTTTTTTAGAGGCGTTATTTTTTAAATGGAATAAGATCATTCTAAATTTCAGAAGTTCGTTATTGCCCATCAAAATGACTGGAAGAAAGCGATCTAAAAACAACAATGGAAACGAGAAGTAACAAAGCGTAAACGAAATAACTTCAGTTTGTTCAATTTAGGAAACTTATCATTGCAGCCAAAGTAATCTAATATGCCGCCAATAACAAAAGTGAAAATGAAAAATACCAAACAACAAATCAAATATCGCATCAAAATTTATATTATTTTTATTAGTTCGTTATGTAACTAAGTAAATAACTATCAACAATGATATTTTATGCATTGTTATTATTTTACTTATATGTAAGGTAGTCGTACATTTCAATTCCTTGTGGATAACCACGAAAAGAAATTTTGATCAAAACAGCTTGAAACTTTTAAATGCGTATTGCCACAAAATTAACAAATGTTGAATACGCCCCTCCTCCACCGAACGGATCACATATTGTATTGAATATTTAAGTATTTTTTTTTAATATGCCGGGCAGTTTTATTTACAGACCGCAAAAAGCCTGTTTCATTTATAGTGTTTTTTTTTTTTTTTTTCTTTATCAAGGAAAGTCTCTTGTTTTGCTGCAAATGCAGAAAGCGTTATTTAAAAAAAAAAATACTTAAATTTCATTCTTAATTTTACCATAGATTTTACTTCCCGTATTGAATTCGTTTTTGTTTATTATTTTCCTATTCATTTTTTTTTCTTTGCTTATTGTGTATACCTTATTTTTATCACTAAAACGAAACCACATTTCTATAACCTTCTATTTTTTTTTTTTTCCTCGTATTCAAAACAGGGTTTCTTGTTTATCTGATGTAATAGCAGGGTGTAAGGCGCGTGCTAACTAAATTACTAACAGTGGAACAAACAGAATTTTAATGCGAGTAAACTGCGGATCAGCTAGCAGAAAAATATTTTTATGCACGCTGCTAGATTTTGAAGTGAAGTTTTACTAAGTATTTACCTTATCTTAGAAACGGAACTTTTGCGTAACAGGTTTTCTACTATTAAATGACGTCGTCTTTCGATTTTTCTTTGATCATTTTTATAGTAATTGCCAAATTCTCTTGTTTTCTTTCAGGAACGACAGAGTCGTCACCAACATTGGACAAATGGTGTGGCAACCGCCGACCATCTTTCGTTAGCACATCCAGCAATTTGCTCATCCGTTTTGAGACAGACGATTCGTACGATTACAGAGGATTTAAAATGCGTTTCATATCACGTGATGTCTGTAAGTTATCCAATTTCTGGCTTCCTTTTGTTAGTTTGTTTCTTTTTGTCATCTTACAGTCTAAAGCTAAACTCTCAATTGAGTTTTACTGAAATAAGCGAAGACTTTAGCTTATTTTTTCGTTTTTTTTTTTTGTTTCAAGCTCTTAAAGTCACAAGCGTCTCAATTAGTTACCATGTTAAACAAATACT